TCTTTCTCCAAGAGCTGTTCTTGTTTCTCTTTGTAATCTACTGAGAAAGCTCTTTTCGCTTAATACTAATAAATCATATAACGTTGAATCGAGAACACTATCTGGTATAACTTGTTGAATTATAGCACGATAAAATCTTATAAGAGTTGTAACCGAATATAATACAGTAGCTGGAGCTTCCACAGAAACTATATGTTCTATTCTTGATTGTAATGGATGACAAAGTCCTTCAGTAATATTACTTAAACATTGTTTAATTTGATCAGATACATCTACAATAAATATTAATAATAATTGCATATAATAATGCATTAAGAATATTATTATTTTTAATAATTTCTTACCAGTTTTATCACAATCTTTAACTAAAATCAATATGTTCTCCTTTTCTATTGGAATTGCTTGATGCAACCAAGCAAGCATATCACCAACATATCTTTTATGATCATGAGCATGCATTTCTATGGGATTTGGTGTTCCACCAATTGGTTCACCTAATGTCAATGCATCTATGAAAGATCCTACGAGTGCTGTTCTTCTATTAGCACAATATTCATCTAAAATATATCTGATAAAAAAATTCTTAATAAATAATTTCCAAAGGAGAATTAATATAACAAAATATAAATATAAATAGTTAAACGTACTTAAATAAAACAGGTCTATCTTGCAATTTACCCATAGCTTTAACAAGTAAAAATGCCAATTGTTCATCTTCTATATATTTACATTGATTCTGTGTCCATCTATATAACCTTTCCAAGGCAGCTTCTTGAAGAAGCGTCATTCTTTGCATTATATCTAATGCCAATGTTTGATATCCAGATTGCATCAATATTCTACAGTTGCTATGTATTTCCTTAAGTTTCAATATGATTATTTAAATAAATTAAATATACTTTATGAATTTAATCTTATCTGATTAAAAAAAAATATATATATATTACCTGTACTCGATTAAGAATAGTAAAAAATTCTTCCGTTATTGGCGATTCTCTATGTGACCCATGTAAACTCGTTATCTCTGATTGAGATAATTGAAAACTCTTAATAAATGCACTTGCAACTTCTTGTTGCATGGACAATATTTGACTAAAATTTCATACTAACATTATAAATCTTTTATAATATTAATTATATACAATTAATGAATAAAATTACCTTTCATTTTGAAGTTTCGTTGTCTGTTCAATGAGTTGTGAAGTTTTAGTTTTTGTAACTTGTAATCGATTTGTCATACACTGAACTGAATTATTCATCGCTAAAACATCTTGATATATATTATCTAAACAAATTTTGACTTCCCTAAACGCAGATAAAAAATCTTCGTTAATGGCAAGACTTCTTCTCTCAATTTTACTTCTTAAATTACGACGAGCATTTAATGTGTTTTCCGTAAAAAATGTTGATAGTTCTTTCAAAGCTTCCAATGTATCCTAAAAAAAAGAAAAAAAAAAAATAGGAAATAGTGATAAACCTACAAAAATAAGATTCATTTAAATGTACATAAATAAATCATGTTTTTTAACATACCTTGTCATGTTCTACTCTTGATTCGAGTAATTTATTAACCCGTCTAACTAAAGCCGAATTAGTATTTTTTTCGCTCATTGCAATTAATTATTTTCGTAATAATGAAAACACATACTCTTTAACTTATGACGGATTATATGGTATACGTCACATAAGTGTGATAAAAAAAATGATTTTTATATATATATATATATTTACATATACTTTTCTTTTTGTGTAGGAGATGTCACTAGTTTCGCTTGATTGACGCGCCTCCTATGTAGATTGTACGTAAATGCATTAAAACTATATTGCCAATTAGATCGTGAAAGAGACCGAAAATATTGCAGACGAAATATCATTTTTTCTATCTGACAGAAAATTTCATTGTTACGCGTAGGCTTGAGAATTTTTTCAATAAAAGAAAGTGCGGATATTAACTAATGTTTTAAAACATATTATTTGTAGGTTAAAGCAATAAAAAAAGTTGATTAATTTAATATATTTCTTTAAAATTTCAGACATTTTTTCTATACTAATTATTATTATTTTTTTTATTATTTTATTTATATGTTGTATATATATTACACTCATATTTCAATTTTTATTTAACCGCCTGCGCATAATGTCTTGCGCACAACGAACAAAGTAACTTTGTATATGTTCATATATATACGTATATATATATATTTATATAAACGTATACACTTTTTTGTTTCAAAGTTAGCACAATTTAATATAGATTATAATTAAACAATATAACAATAACGATATGTAAAAGTAGAATTATTAAAATAAAAACATTAACTACAAAATCGTCTACGTTTCTCCTTTAAAAAGAACGAATCTGATTGGTTAATTTCAAACAGTCGATTGGAATCATTTGAAAGACAGATGTAACAATCTAAATCATTATTAAAATGAAATTTCCCTAACTTATGCTAAATATAGAGAATTTTTATTACTATTATTGCAACTACAAAGAGAGAAAAAAAATGTATCAAATATTCGGACATTGCACTCTCTTGCATGTTTACAATTTAATGGATATCTGTTACTGTTTAGTAATCTTTGGTGTATGACGTAAATATCGTATTTTAATTAATTGACTCCTCATATCACTCATGTATCTTTCATACCAAGAAAATGAATTCCAAAAAATTCATGAAAGTTGATAAAATATCATATTTATAGGTCATTGTACCTTTCGTTGTGATTTTGATTAACATAAGCGAGGTTAGTATCGTTTAATTATCAGAATTGTTACGTGTTTTCTGTGATGGAGTATTTTCGATATTACAATTTAATGGAGTTAGTAAAAAAGCTTGTCTATTACTTTGTTTTATTTAGATTATTTATTGCTTAATAATTAGTCTTGTAAAATAAAGTATATATTGATTATGTATAATATAATGCTATTAAGTTATTCCTTAATTTTTTGCTTATTTATATTAATTTAATTACTTTTGATTTTAGTTTACTTTTTTTTTATTTCTTTTTTTTTCTTTTTTTTTTTTTTTTTTTTTTTTATTTGTTTTTAAGTATGCATGGTTTTATTTAGTTTGTTGGTGGTAAAATGTCTACTTCAGAGACTGGTGTGGGATGTATTAGCGAAGTTACACTTGCTATTAGTAAAGCAAGGACTTCTCAAGCAGGATCCATAAGGGTACTCGACAGTCCTGATTCGGATGGATCTGGCCGTTCGAACTCGTTTTCCATACAACGATTTAATTATCCTAATGAGAATACAAATTCTAACATTCTTCCACCCCCCTTAACAAACAATGATTTAAGAATACCTATTGTCGGATATGAAGTTATGGAAGAGAGAGCTAGATTTACAGTTAGTATATAATATATATATTTATATTAAAATATAACAATTGAATTTTAATTTGAAAAACATTTATTATAATTTTATTTAGGTATACAAACTTCGTATAGAATTGAAGAATGGTGATTGTTGGTTTGTATTTAGAAGATATACAGATTTTGTACGCTTATTTGCTCAATTGAGAAGACAAAAACTTCCAATCTCACATTTGTCTTTACCACAAAAAAAATGGCTTGGAGACAATTTTGCACCTAGTTTTTTAGAAGAAAGGATACGTGGTCTACAAGCATTTGTTAATGGGATATTAAGTAATCCAATTCTCATAGGTAGTGCTTGTGTTAGACAATTTTTTTGTCTCGACGAACCACCCGCGTTATCTGATACCGCAGAAGAATCTAGGGTAAATAAAATATCTTCTATATTCAAATAATAAACTCTATTTTGTGATATAAAGGATAATAGTTATGGAAAAACAAATGTTTCCTTTTTAGGCAATTTTTGAAGCAATGGAAGATACAATATATCATTTAAGACAACAACTTAGAGAACGGGATAATGCTCTGGCAGCAGAATCCGCACTTTGCAATGAATTACAAAAGAATCTACATCAGATGTTAAGGTATGGAAGTTTTTTTAATGAGATTCTAAGATTTTAAACGTTTTTTCATCTTTGATTTTACTCATTTATAAATGTTTCAGCGAAAGACAGATCTGTCCTAAATGTGGCGCAAATCAATAAATTCCTCTAAAAAAAAATTAGATGGATTTTATTATATATTTATTTGAATGTTACGGAGAGATATCTATCTAAGGGATATGCTGTTTAAGGATTTACGTAGATCATTAAAATCCTTCCAGCAAATGTAAAATTTGTAATTTCGTTGTGTATTCATAATTATTTAAGATTACAAGTAATTGAATATAGAAGAAATTTTTTAAGTATTTCAAATGTTAATATTTATAAAGATATTTGCACATATTTTATAATATTTATACGGATCGTTCTAGTGAGTGAATTGTAATTTTTTTTTATTAAATCTTTATTATTTATCATTAGAATAAGATTTAAAAGACAATATAGTATGTAAGAATGTTTTTTTTTTTCCACGTGAGTCATTATACACAAATTGATGTTTAGTATATAATATACATTGAAAATTGTTAAAAATAAATTGAATATAAAAATTTTCATATCATATTCCAATGGTTTTGAAGATCAAACATCAATAATCTCTTTAATAATATTTTCTATACTTGTGATTTGATATAAAAAAAAAAAAAATCGACATATATGTAATAATCCCACTATTAAAATCATATATACATACACACACACACACACACACACACACATACATATGTATCTTATATTTAATAACGAAATTGCGTTATGAGATCAAAATGAGTAATAATGCAATATTCGAATATTTAAATTTATTGATATAAAAAAAAAAAAAAAAAAAAAAAAAAAAAGAAAAAAAATGGGTGTGTTAGTGATAAGCAGTATTTATCGACAAAAAATTTATAATTTATCCTAGAATCTTCAACCACTTTAAAATGATAAGTAGCTGTTGCCAAGTTATGTACATTGGCTACAATATAAAAGCTCAGTCTTCTTTATCTGGAGCAACAACTAAACTCAATGCTTGAATCAGGTACGTAGATTTAGCTGCAAAAGAAAAGAAAAGAAAAGAAAAAAAAGAAAGAAAAAAAGAAAAAAAAATTCTCGATTTGTTTAATTTACTTTATAACAAATAAAAAGAAAAATAATAAAAAAAAAAATAATAAAGAAAAGAAACTTACCTAACAAAGAGCTTTTTTTCTTATTGTACACGTAGACGTGATAAACGAATATACCACACAAAATGAATCCAACGGCGAACAAATATTTGAATGATGGTTCGTAAATGATAGGAATGATTGCTAGAAAAATAGCAATTAATAATACCAACCATGGTATAAAAATAGGTACCGCATATGGTCTAGATGCATTAGGTTTAGTCCTTCTCATAATAATAAGGGCTATCATCGCGAAACCATAAAAAACCCAGGTAAGAAAACTTGCGAATTCTATTAAAGCGGTAATGTCTCCTAATAAGAGACATATCAATGTGAGTATTCCTTGAAACGCTACAGCTATCGCTGGCGTTAATTTCTCCATGTGTACATAACTGAATATGCGTGGTACATGACCTTCTCTTCCCGCGACGTAACACAATCGTGATACACTGAATTGTATACTAAGACCACATCCAAATGTAGAGAAAGCAACACCAAGTGGTATAGCGAAGGCTAACCAACTTGGAAGTACTCTTTTGGACCATAAAACGGCAACGGCAGGTGCACTTATCATTTCAGGTATCGTTAATGTAGCCATATACATTAAATTCATTGACACATATAAAATGGTAATCGTTGGTACAGCTATTAATATACTCCTGAGAATATTGATCTCTGGCTTTTGAATTTCTTCTGTTATTATAGCAGCCGATGACCAACCATCGTATGCCCAAAGACCATTATAAAAGGCCAATGCTATGTTACCGGCGGATGTTGTTGTACCACGAAAAGGATCCTTTAATAGATCCAAATGGCCAGTACTTAACCAGTATATACCACCTCCTATTACAAGAATACAAGCTGCTACTTTACATATCGTCAATGAATTTTGCACTTTAACGTAAAGTTTAACACTCGTTAGATTCGTAAATGTAATCAGGCCAAGTGCCAGCATGGCGATTAATTTTTTCAATCGGTCCATCGAATCCATTGGCAAATCGTCAAGGTAATAAGAGAATGGTTGTACACCATATTCAGCGAACGTTAATATTACAACAGCAACTTCGGCCGGTCTTAGAAGTATAACGTATACCCAGGAACAAATGAATGCTGGTATTTGTCCAGCGTAATGGTGAAGAGGAGCATAAGCTTCGATGAAGTAAGCATATTCCGCACCGGAACGTGGTACAACCGTACTCAATTCCGCAAATGCCAAAGCACCCAATAGTGACAGGAAACCGCAGGTTATCCAAATGATTAAACAAAATCCTACGGATCCGGATCTTTCCAAAGCGTTGGCCGGTGATACAAATATTCCAGAACCTGAGTAATGAGAAAATGCGAATATTTTTATTTTTCTTGATCGACGAAGGAAAGGAAAAGATAAAAATAAAAGGAAAATAAATGGAAAAAAAAAAATAAGAAGAAAAAAGAAATATTTTCGTTGCAATCTGTGCATCTGTGCGAAAGAAAATAAGAAAAGGAACAAAAAAAGAAAAAAACAAAAAAAGAAAAAAACAAAAAAAGAAAGAAAAGAATAAAAATAAAAAATCAACAAATAACTCCTGTCTCTATTATTGTTCCAATCGTTTGTAACGCGTGGGTCAGTTATTAACCCCAATTGAACCTTTGGTTCATATATTCGTTCAAAGGGATAACGACACCGTTATTAAATGACATTGTTATTTCGTTAATCATTCTCCTGTTATATCATGGAAAAGAAGAGAGAGAAAAAAATTGGTGGGAAAGAAGAAGAGAAGAGAGACAAGCGCGAAAAGAGAGAGAGAGAAAAAAAAATAAGAATAAAAAGAACAAACAAATGATTACAAGAAGTACAAATACGTTTTCAACGAGATAAGATTAGAAAAAAAATTTACGATCGGATTTCAACTTAATTATTTTCTTTATTTCATAATCGTGTTACTTATGTGACATTATTAGATCAAATGTATTTAAAGATATATCACGAATTGATTTCTTTAATGTCTCTTTTAAAATATTGTCTCCTTAATCTCGAATAAAGATTACGGTACATTTTTTTTTCTTTCCTTTTATCTTGTTTTATTTTTTTGTTTTGATTTTTTTTTATTTGTTTTTTTTTTTTTTTTTTTTTTTTTTTTTTTTTTTTTTTTTTTTTTTTTTTTTTTTTTTTTTTTTTTTTTATTATTGATTAAAAATAAAAAGAATTACCATTCTGAGTTTCTCTTAACCCCCCCCCCTTCCCCTCACTTCTCTCCGTCATTCTTCATGGTTCAGTACTTTACATCGCCAAGTCCCAATAATTTCGAAATTGTTATAATAAAATGAATTTTCTCTCGATAAGATAAGAGAAATAAAAAAGCAGATAAAAGAAAAACGTAAGGAAAGAAAAATAAAAAACAAGGAGAAAATAAAAAGAAAAAAGTAAAAGAAAAAAAAACAAGAAAAATAATAAACAAAAATAAATTGTTATCGTTATAAATTTGAAATATTTTCTCTCTGAATCATTTTATTCTTCAATTTGACCTTCGGACAAAATGCTGACTGAATTAATAAACATCTAAATACATTAGAATATTTTCTTAAATTCGACATTAATATGATTTACATTTAATATAAGATCAAAAGATATTCTCTCGTATTATATATCTTATTAATATAAAGTACTATTAGTATTAAGGATAAATAACATTGAAGTATAAGCTATTACCTTATTATACTTAACTATCGTCTTGTAAATTTAATCAAACGTAACGTTAATGTAAAATAAACGATTTGAAATCGTACGTAATTATTATATTACGACCGTCATTGTGAAAAAAAAGAATGAGAGCGAAAGAGAGAGAGAGAGAGGGAGAGAGAGAGAGAGAGAGAAAGAGAAAGAGAGAAAAGAAGAGAGAGTACATGTATTCAAAGGCAAATGGTCTATCAGCTTGCGATTACGAGTTATCATTTAAGTAATATGTACTTGCGAGCTCATAAACACGTATAATAATTGTCTCATTTCGTAATATAACATTTATCATATTAATTACCTATATATTGAACATGAATAAAAAGCATATAAAAAAATAACAGATATGTATGCATGTGTATATACGTGTATATATATATATATATATATATATATATATATGTATATGTATATATATATATATATATATATAATGATCGGAAAAAAATACTTAAAATCATTTATATAATGTCGCAATTAAAAATGATGATTAAAATAATATAATTTAAATATGTCATATCGAATATTTTTAGCGTTCAACTCTCTCTCTCTCTTTCTCTCTTTATCTATCTCTCTCTATCTCTCTCTATCTCTATCTTTTTTTCGTCAATTTTATATTTGCAATAAGGATATACATGATATAATTCTTTCACGTGACACATAATACAAAGAGACCGATAAATTTTGATAAATTATGTATTTCTGTAATCGACTTTCACACATATACATATATATATATATATAAATATATATATACACATATATATATATATATCACTCATAATACGCGTGTTTCTTGTTAAATGTTTGTTGATACATTCATTTAAAGTTACATTCCGATGATATACATATACATATGCATGCACACACACATACACACACACGCACACATTCAGATAAATATTTAAGTTATGCGTAAGAGAATAAAAAAAAAAAAAAAGAAAAGGGAGATAGAAAAGAAGGAGAAGAGAATAAAAAAAGATGTTTTTTCTTTTTACCGATCATAACAGCAAGAATTATACTGACGGCACTGAAAAGTCCAAGCTCTCGTTTCAAAGCGACCTTCTCGTTGCCTTTCTCGTCTTTAGCCATTTTCCTTTCAAATCGTTGACGTTGCACTTAAAGCGAAAATAACGTTTTATTAACACGAATTTAATGTCATCGATATCAACTGGCAAAATGAAAGACGAACTAGGAAAAAAATGTAAAGTAATAAATCAATTTAACATTCGTATAAACAGCACTGTTGACAAATCTCACGTTCAGTCATATACAATGCAAGAATTATAATCCGATTTGTGTGACTTAAGAAATAGCGATTGAAAAAGAATTAAGACAAAAGAATTAAGTAAAGGAAAAAAGAAGAAAAGAAAAAGAAGCAAAATAAGAAAAAAAAGAAAAAAGAAAAAGAAAAAAATAAAAAAGAAAAAAAAAGAAGGAAAAATCCGAAGAAAAGGATTGATACAGAAATTAAGAATAATTTCACGTTCCACTATCGCGGATCCAGCGAAATTATTAATTCGCCGTAGAAGGAAGGAAGGAAGGAAGGAAGGAAGGAAGAAGGAAAAAAAAAAGGGAAAAAAAGATAACTGTCGCGCGTTTTTTGAACGATAAAGAGCTTTTTTTAGATGTAACTCTCTTAGAACTCGTGATGTTATCGCGAAGAGATCCAGAACGAGACTAATACGTGCCAGAGCGGGTCAGCTTGACGGTTATTTTTCTGCATCATGTCTTTCTTGGATCCATCGTACGATAAGAGACGACTCTTTTTTTACGCTACCTTTTAACTCTGTTAATGTCTTAATATCTATCCTTTTAACGATCGATAACAAATGTAGTACATAATAAAACGGAAGTTTTTATTTATTCTTCTTATTTCTTGTAAATTCAATAATAAAGCCCGTAACACTTAATGTGTTTTTCTTTTAGATAGGATTTATATTATTTTTAATGAATGTTAAAAACAAAATGAAATAAGAAAAAGAAAAGAGGAAAATGGATAAGAAAATCAATATATAGATCTTTGCCCCCTTTCATGAATTATCGTGATCTTACAAATAAAAGAAATAAATAAGAAATGTTTTTTAAACGAAATAAATTGTTAGAGATTGTTTTTCTTGTCTAATCAGTTAATATTCTGTGTCTGTCTTTTTTGTCAGTTACCGTTTCAAAATATTGAGATAAGATAATAACTTGCTGTTAGTTTATGATTAAGAAATTTATGGTGGAACGAAAAAAAAAAAATACTATTATTGAAAGTTATAAGTGCATTATATCTATTTGTTTGATTTTTTTCTTTTGAGATATTGAACGTCGAAATTTAAGCGGGGGGAAAAAAATTATTTCGTTTTTTAAATATATTTTGATACATATGTGTATATATATATATATATATATATATATATATTTTACATATATAATATTTTATTATTTTATAAAATATTATAAAATATTATTTTATATTTTACATATACAATTATTTATTGATAATATGTATATATATAATAATCGATAATACACATACTACGATATATATATATATATATATATATATATATATATTTATTAATTTATTATCAATTTAATATCTAAATTTGTTATCAATATAGCATTGTTATTTTATCTAAGTTTTTGAAAATGATACTTCATAAGATAGTTCATCAAGATAACACGATTACTTTATGATCACTGAGACTTCAATTTAATCTAAAGATTACATTTTACGAGTATTTGTACAATAAAATATTAAAAAGATAATACATTAAAAATAATAGTGATATATTAATTTTTTTTCTTTCTTCTTCATTATACCAATTCTACGACAATGTGCATGAAAGATTCTTTTAGTTCTTTTAATTTCATTGAATGAAAATGACCGTGAATAGGCACTTACGAGAACGTACTAGTTGACTCTGATTGGTCAAAAATGGCGGGTACATTATTCTTTAAGATTCAGTGATCTAAGATCTTGTCAGCTGATCGCACGCGGTCGAAGAATTTTAGGTTAGAATAGAAACGTGCTTTGTATATATTCTATTGTATTAACGTTATCATTTATATATTTTTAAATAATGGAGGAAGAAGAAGAAGAAAAGTGTCAGGATGACGAGGAAAGAGAATTTTATTTTGAATCAGATCATTTGGCATTAAAGGGTAATAAGAATTATACTGCTCTTTTAAAAACCATTGTTATATTGGAAGCACAAAGGACACAGGCTATTGAAGATCTAGATAAACTTTTAGCAGCTCGTTCTAAAGCCATGAAGGATCCAATATCTTTTGTAGCACAATTACAGAGTGGCGATTTGCCAGAATTACCAAGTCCGCAAAAGATTGCTGATATTCCTTATATTGATTGGGCACAATACAACATAGCACTGCCTGACACACGTATGAGGCCACAAACAAGACATGGACATATACTTCCACAAACACAAATTAAAACTGATCAAGAAAATGGAAAGGTTATAATCCTTTTAATAAAATGCATTATGATATTTCAATGTATTCTTATGATACGATTTAATTATGTTTTTAGATTTTAGTAAGAGGACGTGCTTTTGATGAGAGCAAACCAGAGACATTTAATCAATTGTGGACTATAGAAGAGCAAAGACGTTTAGAAGAATTATTGATTGAGTATCCACCAGAAGAGGTTGAAATGAGACGATGGACTAAAATTGCTAATGCTTTAGGTTATTTGATAAATAAGGATATGTTCCTTTTTACGTATTATATTTATGTGATTTCTTAACATATGTACTCTCTTTATAGGCAATCGAACTCCAAAACAAGTGTCCAGTAGAGTACAAAAATACTTTATTAAATTATTAAGAGCTGGCTTACCGATACCAGGCAGAGGACCAAAAGTAAAATTTGACGTTAAGAAGGGTTTTAATCATCGTCATCAACGAAATAATTATATGCTATTTAAACGTTCAACATTTTTCCCACATCAAGATTTATCTTTTGTTACAAATGAAGAAAGTAAAGAACAGCCAATTATTGAAGAATCCGTTAGTACTTTATTACAAAGGTTTTTCTTTTCTTTTTTTTTGTTTTTATCTTATCTTAAGTTAATATTTATTATCTATATTACCTTTAAAATTTTCATTTCATTTTTATAGGAGGATGATATTGGAAATATTTGCACAGATGATAATTCGGAATTGAGACAGATAGAACTAGTAAGACAAGTTAAGACAGAAAAAGAGCATGAGTCATATCCTGTGTACAAACACGTTGGATATAAGGTAAATAAACTTTGTTTTGTATAAAGCTAATCTATGTTTGTATCAATCTCTAAATTTAAATCTATATTGTAGTGTGTAGTATGTGGAGAGGAACCATTGAAGGGTACAAGATGGCATTGTTTAGAATGTCAAAATGGGATAGATTTATGTGGTGATTGTGCCGTGGCTCAAATAGAAGCTGAAAATCCTACACACGATCCACTGCACAAATTAATTCCAATAAAACAATCCCAATATAGTCAAAGCTATGATTTAGATTATTTTCCACAAAATTTTAATAATTCTTCTTATAATTATCTCGATCCTAATTTTTTACCTGAATAAAACATAACATAATATACATATAAAATTTTTGCAATATTACAAAGTCAATACACGAACTGTTTTATATGAAACATCAAATGATTTATTAAAATAATCATTATTAAATACATGTTATGAATTTTCTTTTGGAAATTTGGAATTTATTTTATCTCGAAATTGACTGAATGTATCATCTTTTATACTTTGTCGTATGTCATTGAAGAACTTTAGATAGTAATGCGTATTGTGTCTAAAACAATAAAAAAAAATACAAATTTGAGATATAATATTGAATAAATAAAAACATGATTTTTAAGAATGAAATACATACATCATTAATAATATCATTCCCAATAATTCTTTGGTAACATGTAGATGATGTAAATATGCTCTAGTATGATTTTTACATGTCAAGCAATCGCAATATTGACATATTGGAGAGAAATCATCTGCATACCTGTTTGAATGAAAATATTTAATTGAATAATGAAATGACATTTGTGTTTTTATTTTTTTTTTTTTCTTCATTTTTCTAAAATTTACCTTTTTTCGCCGATCGTTAATATATGACTTGTATTCTTGCAACTATCATGATCACATAGAAATGTTAAAGCTTCCGAACGCTCAGTAATAATGTAAGGATACGTTGAATCGAAAATATCTATGCCTAAATTTATTAATTCTAATATTACTAATGGATTCCAGCATCCTAATGATACGCGTAATTTATCCTCAGGTAATAATTTCTAAAGAAAATAAAATATATTAAATTTGAAACGATGATGCAACATAATCAAAATAAATAATTGTATAAATCTGACTTACAATTGTATGTTGTATTACATTTTCAATTTGTTCCCATTTAATATTTTTAACATCTGGCCCATTATCATGTAGACCATCTATCACATAACCGGCCAATGGTTTATTTTTCAAATATTCCACTGATTCTTCTCTAACTTTTAAATTATAACCACCTTCAACTGCTCCTAATATACTTTTAAATTTCAGTTTATTCGAAGCGGCATGCCTTTTTAAACATTGCTCTGTTAAAGCCTTACTTCTATCTGTTGCTTTAGATATGCGTTTTTCAGAACTATGCATATTTCCATCACATAGTGCAACATAAAGATCAGGTTCAAATGTTTCTACTAAGTCCATATATTTATCTGCAGTAAATAAAACTTTTCCTGTTCTAGACCATACAGATATACTGTCAGCCTGTTGAAATTCTGATGGAGTTACTTCAGTAGGATCTTTTATTGATAAAAAATTTATATACTCCTAAAATATTATTAACTTTGAATTTATAGAGTAATGTATGAACTCATAGAGTTTATTTATTATTCTATATAGCATTACCTTCATACTAACAAATTCTGCAAAAGAAATATTCAATTCCTTCATACTATCTTCCATTTTTAATGTAGAAGGAAGTGAGATAGATAATAAATGTTGTTGTTTCGTTACCATTTGAAATACATCTTTGGTTAAATGTGGTACGCTGCCTCTCTGAGAATAATATAAAATAATATAATATAAATAATATTATTTACAGTTTATCGTTTAGTTTATCAAAAGACATATATATATATATATATATATATATATATATATATATATATACAATACCTTTGTATATATTAGAAGAAGTGGTGTTTCATAAATAATATTAGGCAATCTTTCAAATTCCGTAAGTATACCAATACGTGGAGTACAATGTGTTAATGAGTCAAGAATGAATTTCATAGTTACTTATCAATTGTAAACATAATATAATATACAAAAATTATATTTAAATATTATATATAAATATATTAATTTAAATTAATATGTTCAATCAAAACTAATACTGTTTACATAGCCATAAATTATCTAACATAACCTTACTTAAACGGAGTCATGCCATGAAAGCAAAGTTAACCACTTAAAATTTCATTTTATTTATGATGTCACATGATATAAGTGGCAACACTATAGCCATCTATTAATATGACGGGAACTATTCTCGAAACTTTAGCACGATTACTCTGGCCAATGAGAAATGTCGAATTTATATTCGGCTACCATGATTGGTCGTAATGCGTGTGTCCAGCTTGGAATCTTCCAATAAGAAAGCTAATTGGTTGTTCCTTATTTATTCAAAAACACATTTAAATTTCAAATTAATTTAAAATTCATACAAGAAAGTATTGAACAAATAATTTACAGGTTGGAAAATATGTTTTATTATTATCAATAACGCCGATACGCATGTTGAGTATTTATTTATTGTTAAAAGTACAAATACTTAACAATACTTAACAAAAATGTTATTTGGCGGCCAATGGCGTTAAGTAATAACTTTTAAGAATTATAAAATAAAGGAATGTTTATAGAAACAATGTTCGTTAATTAATATAAATAGTAAGAAATAATTAACATAAGATTAAAAATAGATAAACGATATTTGATACATAATAATCATTAATAATTATTATAATTAATAAACATAATAAATAATCATTATACAATCCTGAGAATAGATAAGTCCAAAACATTATTTAAGGGGGAAAAAAAACACGAAATAAAGATATAATAATTGTTATGACACTTAAATATTTCGATTTAAGTGTGATCATTATATTGATAAAAATATTATATTGTATTATATATGTTAATTGTAAGTATGGATAATGGATTTTTTTTTTTTTCATAAATTACATTTACATGTGTAAGGTTTTTTTTTTTAGAGTTGCGCGGATCCACGCCATGCGGAATCGAAACCGCATGCCGTGTCAGAATCGGAATCATTATTTTGTTGATTTGTAGGAATGGCAGAATTGACGGACGACGTTGAAGTTGGCCGACGATTACCGATCTGGTTTTGTCTGTTCGTCGCTTTACCCTGAAGTACTGGCGTATTTGGTTGACTTGCAGCTTGCTGTTGTTGACCCCTAGAGAAATCTTGAGTTCTTCTACTTCTTCGTTTTTTAACTGGCGCATATTTCGGCGGTGGCATTACTTTCTGATCTAATTTCTATAAAAGGAAAAATAAAATAAGTGAGTAATTTAAATATTATTATATATTTTTAATTTGTTGTTTATTTTAAGGATATTTTTAATATTTTCTATCTTAAATAAATTTTTTTCCTTTTTAAATTTTTAATAATCTTTGAAAAAATTTAACGAAGAAGAAATTTATTTATATAATTTATTATATAATATTATATCTATTTTTATTTTTTATATTTTATTATATCTTCATATAATGTATATTACATCTTTTTATTTCATTATATTTTTTTTTTTTTATAATGCACATAATATAATTTTTATTATATTTATTTTTTGTAATTGATTATTTTCGTATGTTTGATTATTTTTTTTTTTTTTAACCTTTATACAAATGGAATAGGTAGAAGGAATGAAAAAAAAAAATATTATAATTGTTTCCTTAGATTGTTATTTGTGCTATTTTCTTTTTTTCTCTTTTGTATTTTAGAAATTTTTCATATTCTAATATTTTTAAGAAGATTTAAATGAACAAGGATTTAAGTATATTATATATCTGTAATATATTTTTGTTATTTTTTTGTATTTATGCATTTTTGATATTTGAAGAAAATAGAATAAAGTAAACGAAACGAAGAAGGGATTAAATATTATATATTTGTTGTTAATTATTTTCTGTAATATTACAGAGATTTTTTTAGTAATTTTGTACTTTCGGTGTTTCATTATTTTAGGAAAAGTCAAATGACGGAGAAATGAAAAAATATTATTTATTTCCATTTTTCTTTTTCCTTTTTTTTTCTTTTTCTTTTTAGTTCATTATTTCATTTCATATGCATTATTGTTTTTAGCATTCTATCGTAATGTCTACGTTGTTTGAAATTTTTGTTATTATTTATATTTTGGTATTCTTTATATATATATATATATATATATATATATATATATATATATTTATATATATATTTGGGGGACCGGAAAGTAATGTCGCTCTCTTAAATTAAATTCAAACGAATAAATTTTTTAACAAGTTTTTATTTTTAATCACAATCAAATATCGATATGCACAGAAACGACATTACTTTCCGGTCCCCCTAATATATATTTTTATATATATATATATATATATATATACACAAATATATTTTGTATTTTGTTATTTACAATATTATTTATATTTTTTTTTTTATTACGATGGAAAATTTATGAGAAAGAATAAATTTATTATATACCTGTACGTTATCCGCCGAACCCCAAGACTTATGTATCTTTTCATTGTTGTTGTTGCTGTTGCTGCTACTAGTTGCCACACCCAGAAACTGGCTGAATGCTTCCGTCGTACGTTTCACGCGTACGTTCAACGAGCCAATTCGTAGGAAACCAAGATCTTTCTCTGTATGTGTATTAATTAATTTATATAATATTTTAATTTATATTTATATTATCATCATTATAAATTCAATCGTATTAATAATTATCATTTAATTGATTAAAATTAAGTTAATAAAAAATATTCCATCATAACAATGAACAAATAGTATATCCTTTTATATATATATATATATATTTTTTTTTTTTTTTTTTCTTTTCGTTTCATCAAAATCTTTTACTTCATTAATGGAGATTTAATGTAATTCGTATGATTATAAATCGTAATAATTCAATTTTTTTTTTTCCTTTCCTTAAACAATATTAATACGATAATATTATTTCATTAATAAATAATGATATAATTCGATATTAATTAATATCACTATATGAAAGTAAATAAATAAATCATTAGATAATAATTTGTATATATATATATATATATATATATATATATATATATATATATATAGAAAAAAAAATATTGTCATGCGCCTCTTACCTGCATGCTTTTTCCTTGCTTTTATTTCTGAAAGAAAATATGAAATTATTTCAAAATAATGTCGATCGATTCGCCGGTCTTGAACACGGCATGAACGAAGCTTGTTGATGAAATAAAAAGCAAGAAAATAAAGAGAGAGAGAGAGAGAGAGAGAGAGAAAATGAGAGAGAGAGAGAGAGAGAAAATGAGAGAGAGAGAGAGAGAGAAAGAGAGAGAGAGAGAGAAAGAGAAAGAGAAAAAAAGAAAAAGAGATAGATAGATAGATAGAGAGAGAGAGAGGAGAGAGAGAGAGAGAGAGAGGAGAGAGAGAGAGAGAGAGAGAGAAAATTGAAGAAATTTTTATTAAAAGAAAGACGATATGTTATTAATAGAAATATTATTATTAATTAATTTTATTCGAAAAGTTATTATAATGATAGGCTCGATCGCAGCATATTTCACGTGACATTCGATTAATAATGGCGCGTTTATTATTATTTAAAACTAAATTAATTGTCGTATAAGTTGTTCGTTTAAATTAGAGTTTTTCCATAGTGTCGATCATAATTCAAGCGTTATGTGAGTTATGCGAAATGGGAAAGGTTTTTTTTAAGGATAAAACTGGATGAAAAGATAATGTTAATATCATAGTTAGTTGACATACTCTAGAATAATTTTCCGTACCATACGAACATCGTTAATAGTGTTACTTTGAAAATAAATATGATGCAAAAGAAAAATTGGTTGTAGTAGTAACAGTAATAGTAATAGTAATAGTAGTAGTAGTAGTAGTAGTAGTAGTAGTAGTAGTAGTAGTAGTAGTAGTAGTAGTAGTAGTAGTAATATAATATTTTCAGAATGATTTTCATACTTCATTGCACATGCTTTATTTTTTGTGTAACATCGAGAGCAAGTAAAGAAAACGACAACGATATTGTAATTAAAAAAAAAAAAAGAATTCGGAGAAACATAAAAGAAAATATTTTAATTGAAAAAAAAAGAAGAAACAAATTAATATTAATACAATAATAATAATAATAATAATAATAATAATAATAGCTAGGCTGTAAGATATATAAAAATAAAGATAATAATTGATCATTAAAAAATACATTGTTATTGTTTTCGCTTGCTCAGTTACACAAAAAATCAAATAACATTCTAGATTTTCTGTTTTTTTTCTGTTTTTTTTTTGTCTTTCTTTTTTTTTTTTTTTTAATTTTTTCGTGCAAAAGAGGTGATGTACTACTGCCACTTTTGCACTTGTCGCATATTAACAGCAAAATAAAGCACTTTTGTCAAAGAATATCAATCGCGACGATAGTATGTATATAAATAAATAAATAAATAAATAAATAAGTAAAAATATATAAATTTTTCGAATAATTATAAAAGCAATGACGTTTTCCGTTTGATAACGTGTGATATTGCGCGCGCGTGCGATTTTCGTCCTATTTAAAAAAATAATTGTAACCGGTAGGTTATTAATATGTACCGATGACACGAGAAGAGAAAAGTAAATAATAAGAATAATAAAGAAGAAAAACAAAGAACAAAAAATACGTAAAAAAAAAAAAAAAATATAAATACAATAAAGACAACAACAAAAGTTTTCGAAAATTATCGCCAATTGAATATCGTCAAAGGGACGACACATTATTTAGATTCCTTTTGTTCTTTTTTTTTTTCCAAAGCTCCAGTAATACAAAAGGTCAATGTAATAAAATTGAAAAAGGAGAAAGTAAGCGGATTAAAAAAAATAAAATAAAAAAAAGAAAAAAAAAAAAAAAAAAAAGAAAAAAAAATATATAAACGAACAAACAAACGAAAAACGTATGATCCGAGTGTACAAACGATTAGCGTTAGATTTTGCGAATTAAAGCTATAGAGGAAGAACAAATGTCACGAATACGGCAAAAAAAAAAAAATAAATCAACAACAAAAGAAACGAATCGAGACGAGCATAAAGTTAGAAATCGATCGGTCCACGGTTATGAATCATTTATTACAATTGATCATTTATAATGGGTTCTATTATAATTGGATCTATCATATCAGTTGAAAGATAGTTTTCGAAAATAGATAAAGATAACGTTATCATGATCATACAAACACATATATATATATATATATATATGTATATATGAGCTGTTAATTTTGAAAGTGGCCTAAATCCAAAAAAAGAAAATAAATAAATAAATAAATAAATAAATAAATAAATAAATAAATAAATAAATAAATAAATAAATAAATAGACTTAAAAATAAAAATTAAATATAAAAGAAAATATAAATATAAATATAATTATAAATGGAGTTAGATAACTTTCAAAATAGATGACTCATATATATGTGTGTATGTGTACGTGTGTGTACACATACATATACATACGTACATACATACATACATACATACATATATATATATATATATGTTTGTGTATGTGTATGTATATATATGTCTACTAAATTATTATTGGAATTGTAATTTAAAAGATAATACTATACAATGGACCGACCAATTTCCAAAATACTCACGTTAGCGTAGTAGATATATACCGTTGGTACAAGTGAACAGTCATACTTTACTTTTACGTGCGCTTAATTTAATCTTGCGACAGAAGCGCTTTACTATATTAGCAGAGGTGTGCTTCTGAACTTGCCTGAGCGTAGCAGCAGCAGTAATCCCTACAACAAAAGAATACATCCAGAACCCCGAGGAGATACTCACCGAACCGAGATCCCGCAACCTTTCACTTCGACGATCTCTTTAATATCTTAGTCTAAAGTGCGCTGAACGATATAGAGGATAGTCCTTCCGATTTCGCCGATCAATCTTCGCTTTTCTTAAAATTGTAAAAAACGTATGTGGAAAATTCGAATTAGAAGAAATCGATTTTTTTTTCTTTTCTTTTCTTTTCTTTTCTTTTTTTTTTTTTTTTTGAGAATTGTGGGACGTTGATATAGATGTCGGAGAAGAAAGAAGAAGATGGATTCACAAGCTAGGAAAATATTTATACATATGTGTATATACATATATATATATATGTATGTATATATATATATATATATATATATATATATATATATATATATATATATATACATGAATGTTCAAAAAGCATGAGACTAAACATTATACTACGTATTACTGAGGTCAAATGGATGAAAGAAAGTTCATACAAATTTATGTCTGAAAATATTTTATTGAAAAGATATATGCTTTTAAAGATATGTATGATTTATTTCCATTCGTCGAATTAATGATTGGCCAATAGTCAACTTGACCTTTTAGATCATTTGACATTAACGCCTTTGAACTTCTATTTATGGGATCACGCAAAAAAGTTGGTTTCGATAGAAACAAAAATACGACAGAAGACAAAAGATGAACTTTGGGAATGTATTCTAAATCCATTTATTATTATTTCGAATATAGCTGTAATGTTTGAATATTTGAATTCGGCAAATCGATGAATGAAAGTGTGCATTCTTGCAGGAAGGAGGAATTTTCGAACGTTTCTTATAATTTTCAAAATAAATCATATATATCTTTAAGAAGCATATAACATCTTTTTCAATGAAGCATTTTCTGGAAATAAATTTATATAAAGTTTTTTCATTTACTCTTGATCTCTCAGTAATATGTAGTATATGCTTGGTTCCTTGTTTTCTGGACACCCTGCATATACATATATATATATTACGAACTCAGACTTCGCGACGTGCAATTTCTTCTCATCGTAAAATTCTGTTTGAGATAAAATTAGAAGGAGGAGAAAAAACAAAACGAAAATATCAAAAAAAAAAAAAAAAAAAAAAATAGAAGAAACAAAAATCTTTCATAAGCGTTAAAATCTTTATCATCGTGTTCTTATCATTAATAAAAATTCGCATGGAATACAATTTTTTTTAATTATTATTCTTTTTTCTTTTCAAGGATCGAGGCAAACGCATTCTCGAAATATCGTTCGCATAGGGATGCACGACGATCGATCGATTAATTTCAAAACGATTATATAAAACATTAAAGGGGTATAATCGATCGCGAGAGAAGGTCAAAGAAAATCAAGCTTGCAAGCAGGGTCATGCTAATATATCATAAAGCTGGTGGTGATTTTCGTATAGCAAAAACGTGCAATAATATATAATAATAGAAACGCATTCACAAAATACACACTTTAAGCAGTGCTAAATCGCTACAATAGGCACCGCCTAATTATTTCTCCAATTAAATATCGTTCATCTCATGAAACTAAAAGAAAGAAAACGACTAACTTTTTTTTTTTGGGCGGTGGGGGGGGGGTTGGAGGGTAGGTTCGAGGGTCACTAATAATAATTATTATTAGAAACGTGCATTACGAAGTTTTATGTGCATGGAGTAAAAAAAAAAAAAAAAAAAAGAAGAGGGGCTGGAATTTTTCTATTATACTTTTGTGCAATTTTTTCCCAAACGCTTTTGTTTTTTTCTTTTTTTTTTCTTTTTAGTTACCGCCAAAAAAATATTCACATTTCTTTTATTTGATTATTAATATTATTATTATTATTATTATTATTATTATTATTATTATTACTATTATTATTATTATTATTATTAATATTATTATTATTATTAAATCTTTCATCTCGTTGTAAAATTATTTCTTATGAAAATAAATACATCGGGAGATTTAGAAGTTTTTAGGAGATTTTAGGTGATTAGGATAAAGGATTTTCATGGAATTTTTTGTGATATCACGTAGAATCGATCGAACACGATTATAACTATATAACATCTTTTTTTTCTTTTAAGATAAATAAACGATATTAAAAATCATAAAAAAGAGAATCGAATCGTCCTTCGCGTTATTCGAGTCGTTTAAAAGGCAGCGGTCGAAACGTGTTCAGATATGTTCGGATACGTTTTATCGAAAGCGTTCTTTATTAAAAAGAAACAAATAAAAAAATAAAAAAAAAAAAAAAGAATAAAAAAAATAAAAAACATAAATATATCGTTCACTTACTGCGGAAGGTGTCCTGGCTAACTGCTGCCTCTTGAGAAACTAAATACTGTCTGGCTTTCTTACCACTGTAATCACGTATCTCTTGATTCGCACCTAAAGTACAGACATTGTGAAATCATTCCATTCTTTCTTTCGCGCAATTTTGAAATAATTAGAATGTTAGATCGAATTAATTGGTTATACACTACCGTATACTTGTACCAGCAAGTTGAAAACGTTTTCGTGATCGAATTGCATCGCTATATGGAGAGGCGTGTAACC